ACTTAATTAGTTACCTAAAACCGTTTAGGCACTAGTTTGCAGCAGARAGCAAATAAGATGTATGAACTTAAAGAAAACCTGCTTGAGGTCTCGACGGGCGCTGGATATATCGAGTTCTCGGATACGCTGATAACCTTTGGCTATGTTGTAAGCATATTAATGATGTTGGTAAGTATTGCACGATTCTTATATTTAAACTGATACACTCTCGAAGACCTAGACTGATTTTTTTGTTATCGAAGTGTTATCGATTTTTTTTTTCATATGTAATACCTGCAATATTTGAAGCCTAAAACCCAGAAATATATATATATTTTTTTAATACCTATTGAGCAGYAGTCATCGCATAGAAGACGAAATGTTGTTATTGTAGCGGGTACCCAATCCCCGTTAGGATGGTAAGGTTTAGGCCYAGGAAACGTGCTGTTTCRACGGAGTTGAACCYAACGGAGAAGGATGTGAGATGTGTAGGGTGAGCAGGACATGCAAAGAGGTACTATTGTCATGCGGGAACTCATTGCACGCTGAACATGTATTTGATATGTTACAGTCTATTCTGGATAAGTAGGAGTGGCGGTCAATGTATGCCTGAAGTTAGTTGCGTCCGATGTCTGGTCGAAGTATTGTCTTATGTCGTCGATGTAGTTGATGAACGACCTCCAAGGAGGCGTCTCTGCCGTTGTCCAGAGTGCAGGGTTCTGACATGATTGCAGCTTTCTCATCTGCGTTTCACTACATCCAGACCATATTGGTGCGGCGTAGTTAAGGATCGGCCGATCGATCGGTCGATTGCCTTTTTGCTATGTGCTGCCGGCTAGCGATTTGAGGAAAGCACCCCGCAGAGCTGCTTGGAGAGGAGTTCATTATGCCCCTTAACTGAGAGCAGCTGGGCTACATTATGCAGGTGTTAAATGGTAGACACACTGTCGTAGTCGCGAGTACAATGTTCTGACATGATTGCAGCTTCTTCGTCTGCATTTCACTGCAGCCAGGCGACCATGTTGGTGCGGTGTAGTTAAGGTTCTGGCCGGTTAATTGCCTTCTTTCCTCATAGTATCGGATAGTCTCCTGAAAATTTTGTTGCGACTTTGTACTTTGACGATACTGGTAGTCGTATATGGAGTGAAGGTGCACGGACTGTCGAAAGTCACACCTAAAATTTTAGGGTATATAAGGTCGTGGTGGATTTAGTGGGAGAATGTGTTAAATTTCGTGCAGCCGTTTACTTTTAAGCACATGCCATTGATTCCATTGCCCGACGTCGTTATCGTGCAATCATCAGCATACGAGGTGATAGAAATTCCCTTTTGTGGTTGCGGGAGTTGCGAGATGTAGAAGTTCAACTCTAACGGAGAGAGGACACCGCCCTGTGGAATCCCTTKTTTAATACTTCTCTGTTTKGAGTTTTTACCTCGAAATAGTACGGATGATTGMCGAACGTTCAGKTAGTTCATAGTCCACYTCTTCAGTCATGGAGGGAGTGTAGATTTTTCGATGTCCACAAGTAGTGTTGCGTCACTGACTGTGTCCAACGGATCGTTCTCACGCAGATTGGTTTCTGGTGAAGACCATGAAGGCCTTGACAGCAGTCCAAAGCTTACTCACACCGGTGTAGAGRTCATAGGACTTCAAGTGCTCTATCCATTTTAGATAGATCGTATTACATGGTTAGAAATTCTTCGAAAAAGTTGACATAAAGGATAAAAGAACCTTAAACTTAATGTATTACAATGCCTGAGAGGAATAGATAGGGAAGGAGTAGGAAGCAGACTTTTTTGAACTTGCCTAACCGATTCACTTAACACTATCAGCAAAAAATTGGCGCACTAAAGGCCGGAATTTTCGGATCGCATATTCATACAGCATTTCTTTCAGATAGTTTTCCTCGCACTCATATTCATGCCACTTTGGTACCTTGGCTCGCTATATTGCCGCAAATGTAAATGGATTGGAAGCATTTTGCCRCTGACGTAAGTCAATGTGGGTGAAATTATGTTTTTTTCTAATTTATATTTTAAATTTTCTTGATAATTTACGCGAAAGCACTGCAGCTTTTATATTTGTGTTCTACCTGGTATTTGTGCTGACGATAATGTACTACTTTCTGCATGGAATGGTGGCAAAGGATGGCATATGCGATGGGAAGCGGTAATGTATTGGCAAAATACAGTATTTCGACATATAGATTACTTTCAATATTAAAAAAAAAAAWATAYCTTMTTTTGCAGTGATCTCKATGCTGCTAGATCGAACATTATTGATGACTGCATAATCAACTCTGCAATGTTCGAAAATTACAGTCACACGAGTGCCAAACGCATCTACGACACTAGCACGAGTGCTATCGAAGCGGCTCTGAAGGCGATTGAAACTCTGCCGAAGCGTGTGAGACGCGCCACAACTACCAAACCAAGTTTCGCCGAGAACTTTSAACGGTTTCACATCAACAAAACCATAATACAGGACATTTATGTGGAAATGTTGAAAGTTGCCGTGTATGCGCCTAAAAATATAGAACCATTCGCYTTAATTTGGCACGCCAATCGGCTGAGTAAAGCTAAAGCTCTGCAAGAGCTCAATTGTACACATGCCATTGGCCACACTATGGCTGTGTCGCTGCACGGCCAAGTGGCCAGCGAAATGGATAAATTATATAGAAGCACATGGCGCGTCGAGGCATTGCTACAAGACCTACCCACCCAATTGAAAGCCAAGACTGATGACACAGCAGATTTTGACGGCATAACGGAATTAACGAAAAATTTGCGTGCGATCTTCAATGCGGGCAAAGAGCCATTGAGGAGGAGCATRTCTCATACAGCGAGCGCAAAGGGTACTAACTGTAAATCCGTAGCACAGTTGTACAAGTCACTAAAAACGCCGGCTTGTGAGTGTTTGGTGCCATCAATGGTGAGTTCGGAGAATACCGTTTATGAATTTGTAAAATATCTAAACCATTTTCAAGTATTTTTCAATCAATCAATACTTAAATTCGATATTGTTGCCTACCTTCAGGCGCTGATTGAAGTTGATACCCACCTAATTTGTTAGAGTTTAGGTGTACTCAGTTAACGATAGAGAAAGAGAAGGCGCAGAAGATCGGGAAAATTGCTACACGACTAGGAGTTCTCAAGGGTTACCSATGCTCTGCAGCCATTTATAATGCCTACCTTATGGCGCTGATTGAAGTTGATACGAATTAGGTTTATTAGAGTTTAAGTCTGCTCATTTAACCAGAGAGAAAGAGAGGTTTCTGATGCTCTGCAACCATTTATAATGCCTATCTTAAGGCCCTGATTGAAGTTTGTGCAAATTCGATTTATTAGAGTTTAGGACTCCTTATTTAAAACGAGAGAGAGAAAGAGGGTGGGTAGGATTTTGGAAGAATCCATCACCGCGCCGAGTTCTCAAGAGAACCCCATGCTTTGTAACCATTTATATATATATATATCAATAAATCGATGAACCGGTATTGCGTTATTCTTTCCGGACCTCGGTTTTCTTTCTTCGGCCTTGGCTTTACAACTTAACTAAATAGTTTGTAGGAAATATTGCCTAAATTAGCAATTGTTTTATATTTCCTTGYACTACAAGCTTCAATTTCTATCTCTACTGTATTCTCACTACTCTCTCCAACTCTCTACTCTTTTCTCCAACAGAATCTCTACTGGTTTGGTGCATTCGTTGCGATTTGCTTGTTGCTGCTGCTGCTGGCACTCATATTATGTCTAGAAGAAATGATCAGAAGATCTGCCTCGTCAAATAGAGAGTCAAGAAGTCGCTTAAAGCTTAGCAAGTCACATCATAGCCATCGTGGTAGAGGATCGTCGCGAACACGAAGCTCTAGTCGGCCAGGTACAAAACATTCCACACGTAGCAACACATCATATTCTACACGCAACAATACACCATATTCCACACGCGCCGGTACACCAAACTCCACTCGACCCAATTCACCCTACTCCAATCGCTTGGATACACCCTACTCCAGTCACGCCGCCACACCATATTCCACCCGCGCTACAACACCATATTCCAGCCATCCAGACACGCCATATACCTCCCGCTCGAACACACCACACTCCAGCCGTCGCGTTACACCATACACAAGTCGACATGTTTCTCCGTACGCTGGGACACCGCATACCACACGCGCGAGAAGTAAAGACCGAACGCCCACGAGAGGCACGAGTTTGGCMCTAAAACATCCACCCGAAAATGCACCATATTTAGTGGRCTACAGAAGATTTGGTGTAGACGATCCTTTTGTTGAACAATTTACAGAACGTTTGAGTCGGCGTGACATGTTGCCACGCCACCTACAACGGCAACAACAGCAGCAACCCAGTCAAGGACAGCACGATGTGAAAGACAACTTTACGTTCGAATCATATCCGGATATGCCGGCTAAGCTACAGCAAGCCCGCTCACTTGAGCGTAAGCCGGATAGGCGTAAAGAACCGAGGAATGTGTGGAAGAACGAGGCATTTCGTTATCCCGGTCCTGGAGGCAGTGACATCAGCACAATGCTACAATGCTTTCGTGGTCCTCGCAGCATATCAAAAACACTGGAACAACGTGGCCGTAGCCAGCCGAGTGAGAGAACCGCGAASGTGCAYCACAAAGAACCAACTCTAATAGCACAGCGGAGCACAAACGAGACACTAGTTGATGGACCCACAACTAGTGGTGCGATACCCAAGATCAAATTGCCACCCGGTAAGGTGGGCATTGTTGTTTGCCCCTGTGGTTGTGGGAAGCCGTCGAAAATCTATGGCACCAAGCAGGACATAGAGCGTATCAGAAAGGCGGGAAAAGTTTGCATAGCAAAACGGGGGCAACAGTTCAAAGACAGAAGATTAAGGCCACTCGCATCGGTTGTRGAATTGARGGGCACCGAGGAGGGCAATGAAGACGTGGCTTAGTGACGACTAATCTTCTTGTAAATATATATTTTTATGCAAAGAGAGAAAAATCAATGAAAATATACAATACTTTASTTAAAAGACAATAGTTTTTATTTCGATTATTCCCCAGTTCCAGCTTCACTTGAGATCCGCCAGCAGACTGGGGTCTATTAAATTTAGATTCGCATAAACATATTGAAAATCGAATTGCGGCATTTCGCGCTCTTGCTCTTTGATTGAGCGCAAGCCTATGTGGGGACGCAAAAAGCTATCAGCCAGAGGAAACCAACGCAGCTGCACGTCCGGCGCTCTATTCTGCTTAATGGCCTCAAGCATGCGCTTCCGATGCTGCATATATGTTATGCGAAAGATTTTTATTTTCTTTGCCACATAATCAGCGTCCAGGCCATAACCCATAGCCGCGGCAATATCCTCGATAGCAGCCGCGCGCATTTCACGCGAGCGGTAGTCAGGGTCATTGAGATCCCACAGACAGCGATGGGCACCATAGAGACGTAAAAACTTCACTGAGTRCTTAAGCGACCATTTACCCTCGAGCAAGTCGTCTTCGAGACCATTCCAAATGAGTTTCAAGGGTGGATTGCTAAAATTTTGGCGCTCCGCGGTATAAGTGTCGTTGTTGCCAATGCTATCCTCATTGTTTGCTGGCGAAGCTGGTGAAAAAATTTGTGATACGGTCGGGGATGATGGTGCACTCAAATATAAGGCGTTGTTTGGTTGATCAGTATTGCCATCAAGTGCGAAAGAGTCTAATGGGGCCATTTCATTCAGTTTCTGCTTGTTAWCCTCCTCCATATTTTCGCTGATATTAATTTTCGTCAACTGAGGCGTCTCCAAGTACTCCTGTACCATGGGCCACCAAGTAAAACGCGGTTTGTGTTGGCTATCCAGTTTAATAGCTTCCATCTCCCGACGGTAGGTGGCGATAAAAGTTTCTAAGCGTCTGCGCAAGCGTTGCTTTGGCAATTGCATAGTATGAGAAATCTCTTCGAGCGCTTTTTCTTGTTGTGTGGCCTGTTGCTCTATTACCAAGGGGTCGTTTATGTCCAACTGCCAAAGCAGAGGATAGGAGCGTAACAGAAAAATAAATTGCAAGGACTCATGAGTAGTCCATTTCCGTTTTACACTTGTAGACATTTGTTCACTTTTAYGCTGTAATGGACTGACGTTCTCAGGAGAGCTAACAGTGGGGAAACGTATGTTATCCTGAACAAAGAAAGATTTTTTTGTTAACTGCACCATTTGGAGTGGATGGACAGTGGTGATGAAATGATGTTGTGATTAATAAAAAAAAGGGGAATTATAATGGAAGAGGTCAAGGTGCAGAACTGTCAGAGCTGATATTGTTTGGTGCGTCATGAATGCATGTGTAAGTAAAATAAGAAATACAATAATTACCTGGTCAAATTCCTCTTTAATGTATAAAWCATCATTTTGAAAATTCCCATCATCTGACAGTGAAGTCAACACTTCCGGTTCAATAGTAAACACCAGAGCATCCTCCAAATCTGAGTCACTATCAGCGTCCTTAACGAAAAAGTGTAAATTTAAATAATAATAGCAGCAACACGCATATGCACCTCTCTCTTTTTGTTCATCTCGGACTTAGGCACATTCCTCAGAAAGGAATCGGCTAATGCGAACCACTTGAGTTTCGTTTTGGCGCCTATGCCTCTGCGTATGCGCTGCTTGATGCGCCGTTTCTCGTATCTATAAGTGGCACGCAAGACATTGATCTTTTGCAAAACCTGCGCACAAGTASTACCTTCCCCCATAGCCGCTGTAATATCAATAAGCGCTGCCTTACGAAATTTACGATTCCTGTTGTCAGGATGACGCGTGTCCCAAAGACAGTTATGCGCGCCGTAGAGGCGTAGAAGACGCATAAGTTGTTTTACAGACCATTTATCATTGACGGCATCTGAGTACAGCTGTTGTGAAGACTTACTAAGTTGTAGCCGCTGGGTGAGCAAAATAAATGCGGTTAGGTTTTTCAAGGTCATTGTTTTTCATTTTTCACTTAACTCACMTGTTGGGAATCAGTTGCGGTGTGTGGCTCAGTTTGATCTTCCTCACGGGGAATCCATTTCTTGACTGCACCACGAAAAGAATATGAAGACATTCGCGGAAAACTATAGCAAAAAAAATAAGTAACACATACAGGTTTTGTTATCACAAGTAATATCGAAGTAGAGATAAATATTACATGTAATAACTGGCGTATACAAGCGATGCTGGAAACTGCTTAATTTKTTTATTTAGTTTTGAATCTGAAAATAATTTAAATTAAGCAAACAATCGAATACTAATGTTATCTATTATATTAACTACCAAAATATGTTCAATTGTTATTATCACTTGTTAACATAGGTTAACATTGTCTGTCGGCGCTCAATTTGAAAAACAAATAACGAGAAGTGTTACCATATTCACCATATAAGAAGAGAATATACAGAATTTTCCTTTAACTATTAATTAAGTTTTAATGCAAATAATAATGTCGAAAATAAATACAAAAAAATCTTCTAAATTCGTTTTACACACATCTCAAAATTTCATGCAATTTACTTAATATCACTGCACCTGTTTTCTAATCTTAAATAATGGCCGAAAATAATCCCTGCTCAACAAGTATTGTGGTATAACAACATTGTAAGGTAACAAGAATAGGACGAAGCAAACGAGTCGCAAAACATACTGTCAAAGTTGTTGCTGTTTTCGACTTCTATGCATAGGAAAATTTTTTCGTTTCTCGCAATAAAAGAATACTACACAAAAACAAAGAAAATGTTGAAAAGTTAAAACCAGTACGAAACAACTAAACGTTCATCGATTGTGGCTAAGTGGTAATGAATAAATCGAAAAAGTTAAAAACGCAACAACGGCCACAGAAAAACCACGGCGTAGAGACTTTAAACAGACGGTGTAAACAGAAATAGCAAAAAAAAAAAGATCGAATATAACAGAAGTAGTTTTCTATAAGAAATTGTGCGTCCATTGCCAAGTTGAGTGAAGGACAATAATTTTTCTGATTTACTAACAGAACACAGTTAGCATAGCTAACGTCCTCAACGGTGGCGATGGAAAATTTGCAAGGGCGTAACACCAGTGGTAGTAATGGTACTCTATTCAAAAATAATTCTGACACAGAAAACCTAAGTGGTGGTCGCTGTAACAAATCRGCGCATGTAGGCGCTGGCTTTGTGGCAACCAAGCCTTTTGCAGSGGTGCAGGGTGAATGCAATTGTCTCGGTGGTGGTGGTGTCGGCGGTAGCAGCACCAGCTGGTTGTCTTGCGGACAACAACATATAAAYAATAACAACAATAATAATTCAACGGATGTGCAAAGCAAGTGCAATGTCGGCATAACAACAACGACAGCGATGACGGCCACAGCGAACATTGCAACCGTATCGTTGGCAAATGTGACAACAGATGCGTCATGTACCGGCATCGGCCAAATAAGTGCTTGTAGTGGTGGTGATGGGGGCGAAGTTGACAGTTGTGAAAGCAAAACAGTTGGGGTTGCACGCACGGGCTTTGGCATGACAGATAGCATGAGCCTGGCAGGTGCCGCTGGAAAAACTAACGGCGGCACTGAGTTAAAGGTTCACAATTATTGAATTTCATATACAATTGTTTAGTTCATAAAATTATTATAAACTTTGCAGCTAAATGGTGGGGCTGGCATCACGATAGACACACCTACATCACCACAGGATGCAATGGAAGCCGCAGCTGCTACGCCCAGCGATTTCCATGCTTGCAGTTTTGATGTATTCTCAGCCGCTGCAGCTGCAGCTGGCGCAGTATCGCCCAGCGCTTCACTTAACAACTCCACCGAAAATCTGAGCTACGCGAGTGATAATTGCTATGGTGATGATTTATTGCTGTTAGAAGGCGATGATGACSTAGACGATGTGGATGTTGATGCCGAAGAGATTTCACTCAACTCGGATGATTGTGTTTACGCATATCGCGGAGATGGCGCCGATTTTGATCTCGCACTGGATACTATTTCTGGACGTGGGCATGGTACTGGCAACACCTGCATGGCGGATGATGAAACGGACTTTCTTGAAATGGATTTCGAACCRGATCCATTATCAGAGGTGGAATATGGCTCCGTGGAGACRGCACCTGGGCACGCCGACGCTTTTCTAATGCAACGCGATGCCTGCCAYTTGAGTGGTCGCCATTCAGCGACGCTGGGACACTACGGCAATGGCGCGGCTGCGGCGCAAAGACTYCTTTTCAGTTCGCCAATCGATGATAGCTTGCCGCYGCCACCCGCWAAAACGCTGCAATCGCAATTAATGATCAGCAAGAACTTTGCCCGAATCACCATGCATTTAGACCAGATAAAGGGCGAGAATGGCGACAGCGATGCCTACGAGCATGTGCAAAGTGATCGGGCCTCTGCGTTAGGCATGACAGACGATACAGTGGATGCGGTGCCAGMYAACAAAGTGCTTAACGCCGCACACTCGCTGCCCAATGCGTTACTCTCGAATTTCGGACGTGATTTACTGCACGGCAAGGAGGTGGGCAAGTCCAGTCYATCAAAAGTGACAGGTGTGTTAAGAATTTTTATGATTAATGGCTCAGCAAGTTGTGTTTAAATATTTCTRTTTTGTACAGGCGCCAAACCTAAACGATTCTCCACATTTTCTACATCCTCGTCCACATCTTCCAAAAATTCATCGAAATCGCGCAATTCGCTGCGCTCAACATATGCGTTGACGACGCTTTGTAATAGCACAAGCTTCGACGAGCGGAGCGCTAGCTGCGCTGAATTCCGTTGCTCCGCGCCCAAGGTCGGCATGAGCACCGAAAACTGCATGCGCCCCGAAGTCCATCTAGTCAGTAACACAGCCACGACAACGGCGTCCAACGACTGCGACGATCTGAGCGTGAACGACGACACGTGTCTGGATTGTTTGGAAAAGGAATTCCTCGCCAACACAATCGGCAAGGCCATCGATACGAATGTTTGCACACGCTGTCGCAAGCGCAGCAGCAGCAGCATCGCGCTGTTTAAGCGCGCTACGCACGGCACGTCCGCGGGCACAGCGCGCTGTCGCAGCGGCTCGCCATTGGTACTGCGTGACRCRCACGACGAGTGCATGCTCGGCACAGCGATCGGCGATTACTTACAGCCGCGGTGTGTGGACTGGGCTAGCTCGGCCTTTCGCGACATACGCATGATGAAGGACGACAGGTGGCTGGGCGACAGTGTTAGTTGTGATGATAGCGGACCGTGCGCCGGCGATYCGAAGTTAAAAATTAAGCCGCGCCTGCGTACTCGTGTGCGTGCGCGCACCTGCGATGCTGAGGTGTTGCAGCAATGCAAAAGTGAGGAGGACGCGTCGGCGCAGCAAAGACGCGCGRCTGCSGGTGATAGCGGCTTCGACAACGAGCTTGTGAGTGTTTAGCAAACACCTATGTGTGTGTTGAATAATAATAATAATGAAATTTTGAACTCTGCAGCTGTTGAAAAACTTMCTACTGACTGAAAAGGAAACTGTTACAGTTGCCACTTTAAATTTAAGCGAGGAGTTGCTAGTGCAGGCACTGGTAAGTGCGAATTTCAAAAAAAATTTCAAAACAATTTTTTTCTTCAGTTTTTAAACAATTTTTTGCTTGTCCAGGATAAACTTCATGTACCATATAACTTGGAAATTATCAAAACGCATCTTTTTTACGTCTCGAATACTGCTACAACAACTACAACAACAAAAACAACAACGCAAATGTCCACAATGCTTGGCAAGCAACAARGYTTGAAGGAATTCAAGGACCTAAAGCATCTGCTGTTGCACGAATCGAAGAAACATGGCAACCATCCAAAACTGAAGCGTCTRATTGAGCTGGCCACGCGGCAGCAGGTGGAGGTGGAGTTTCAGCAGGTAACAGCGCTATTCCTAATGGGTCTTAAGCTTTTAAATAATTGAGTTTTGTTCCATACAAATATTTTTATACCCTGAACAAAGTATATTGAATTTGAAATATATTTTTAAACAATCAGCATGACGAGCTGAGTCGATTTCGCCATGCCGTCTTTCTGTATATACGGTATCTGGTCCCTCAGTTTTTTATGTATGGATTTAAAATTTCGTGCMAACTGACCTATGAAAAGCAAGTTTTTGTATGGACAACTTTTTTATTAAACAAAATATTTTAACGAATTTTGTCTTGCATTGTTGTTGTTCGCCAAAGGTAACGGTACAATCTCCGAACAAATCGTTCTGATCGGACCACTGTGGCATATAGCTGCCATACAAACTGACCTATCRGAAGTATTTTTTTATATGGACAACTTTTTTATTTAACAAGATATTTTAACGAATTTTTTCATGTAGTATTCCGCATAGCAACGGTACAATTTCCTAACAAATCGCTCATATCGCACCACTGTAGCCTTTAGCTGCCATACAAATTGAATGACCAAAATAAAGTTCTTGTGCTGAAAACTTCATTATTTGTGAGGGGTATAGGATAAGGTTTTTTTTGTTTTTTTGTTCATATTTTCAATTTCAAAAATTATTATTTTTTCCCTTACAAGGACACGAAGGACAACGCAACCGCATTTGTGCCGCTCAAAGTCGCCGATATACTGCAGCAGTGGGTGCGYACGAAGAATCTCAGTGTGCTGCGGCATTTAGACAAACGCTTTGTCGAGGCGAATGTTTTGGGTAAACACCTTTTTTTTACCTTTGTTATCTTTTTTTCTTTTTCTTATAGTGCATACTTTAACAAAATCTAATTTGTTGCAGGTAAAATCGGTAATATTATACGCCAGGCGCAGCAGCGTTGTACACCGCGACGTCCACTGCCCGAACACATACTGATACCACAGTATTATCCTGCCGGTGTGCTAAGGCTTACAAGAAAAACTTAAATTTGTTTTTGCTACAATAAGGAACTGCGATTTGTATGGCTGTTTTACATAAATTTAATTTGAAATACAAAACCAACAAAAACTTATATGAATTATTATGCGCGCTGCCGTAGGCAACAATAATCATACATAATCACACGCATACACACACACTGCGCTTGAACGAATGCAATATTATTACTTAAAAATAAAAACAAAACAAAAAAAAAAATTTACAAGCATATATGTATGTATACATACATATAGTATATATATGTATATGTATATATATGCCCACTGCTATCGACTTGTCGGTCAAAACCGTAGCAAAGCAAAAACGAGCAGACTTAGAATTACCAATACATATTACAATGACATAAAGCAACTTATACGCATAAACGTTTAACTGTTTGTATGTAAATATAGCAAATATGATAATGCAATTGTTTAGAATTTGTTTTGTTAAGACAGCGTTTATCCAAAAGAAGCCAGAACGAAAAACGCTCTTTGGCATTGCATGTAATGTTAATTTATTCCTATAACTTATATACTTAGTAATATACACATTATATTATATTTATATACTCAATGTTTGTATGTATAGCAAGGCAACATAATATTAACGCAAATTAAAGCTATTATAATTAATTAGGCGATAGTGTTTAGAATGTTGTAATTACACAAAACACACACACTCAACCCAGCACACCCATTTGCACCAGCATTAAACGAATATTGAATAATCTCATGCATATACATACACATATGCCTATGTATTAAAGTTATTGTAGAGTATGTCTAACATACGCTTATGTGGAGCGCCAGCGCACGCTCCTTTTGTCCCACACACACACATTGAACTCATTGCAAAAAATGGAAAACATAAATGTATGTATGTCTGTTTGTTAAATGATATTACAAAACTAACAACAATATGTATGTATGTACGTATAGTGCGTTAAGCGTTTAAAGAAGAAATACATACGCATATGCAATTTAGCTCATTCGCTCAATACTTTTTTTCCTCAATCATATGTTGCAAGGCATTGGTTGGCTCTGTTCGGAGGCAAAGGTACGAAGACTAAATTAAAGCTTCATGGGAACTGCAATGGCGTAGTGGCAGCAACAAATAAATTATTAAATGCATATTCTTCACATACATTTTGCTAAAGTTTTTAATAAAGCCACGCTTTAATCAAAATAGTTGCGGAGATTCTTTTGCGGACTTTTTGTTGTAAGCAATTTGCGATGAAATTTATGTATTTACTATATATACTTCTTGACATATGTAATTGAGTAAGCGCAGTTACTCTTGCTTATATACCTGTGGTGAGTTAGGTATGTTGAGTTGAGTTGAGCTTTGGTGATTCAGTAATCCTTAGATTAGTGGAATTATGTATTCTTTAGTGATTTAAGAGAAAATATGTCATTAGTTAAATGTGGTGAATTTATAAGTGGTGAATTCAGGTGTGGTGAGTTTCCTTGATATCTTCAATGTTATATAAACATAAATATGAAAGAAAACAAGTTAATAATATGCTAGTGAGAAGTGGCGAATTTGCTTGTGATGAGTTAGGCATGTTGAGCTTAGCTTTTGTGAGAAGTTGAATTATGTCAGCTTTAAGARAATAACTGCTATTAGTTAAATTTTGTGGATTTAGGTTTGGCGGATTTGTTTGATATTTTCCATGGTGTGTAAACATAGAAAAGTAATTAAATCAGTAACTAATATGCTAGTAAATAATGCCCGTGGTGAGTTAGATATGTTGAATAAAGACTTAGTGATTCGGTCGTCTTAATTTTAACAAAATTATATAAACTTTAAGAATGTAAATGTCATTAGCTAGATATGGTTAATTTAGAAGCGGGGAWTTAAGGTGTGGTGAGTTACGTGATATTTTCAATATTATATAAGCTCAGCTTTTGTGATAAGCTGAATTATGTAAGCTTTAAGAGTATAAGTGGAGTTAGTTAAATTTTGTGAACTTAGGTTTGATGGGTTTGCTTGATATTTTTCTATCTATAAATCTATGCTAGTGACATTTGGTCAATTTTCCCGTGGAGATTAGGTATGCTGAATTAAGCCTTTTGGATTCGGTCGCTCACCCAAATTCTGTAAACTTTAAGAAAGTAAATGCCATTAATTAGATATGGTTAGTTTAGATGTGGTGGGTTTAGGTGTGGTGTGTGTTCTTAATATTTTCCGTATTATATTAACAGAAAAATGTCATTAAATCAGTTATCATATTATGTTTATGGGGTATGGAAAATTCACCTCTGGTGAATTAGGTATATTGAATTAAGCCTTGGTAATTCAGATGACTGCATGAAGTTTAGTTGAATTAAGTAAGCTTTAAGAGAGTGTCCTTAGTTACAGATGAGGCGGTGAACTTAAACGTGGTGAGTTTAGGTGTGGTGGGTTTCTTTAATGATTTAGATAACATTAATATAAAAATGTAATTAAATCAGTTAGTAATATGTTGTTTAGATATGGTAAATTTGGCTGTGTTGAGTTAGGGACGTTGAATTAAACTTTGGTGATTTAGGCTTCTTAAAATGAACGAAATTTATTAGCATAATTAGCGAAGAATTTTCATTAGTTAAATGTGGTGAATTTAGAAGAGGTGAGTTTAGGTGTGGTAAGTTTACATTATACTTTGCTTCTTTCCTTATGTACGCAGGTCTTTGATGCTGATCTTAAACTATACACTTCTCTGCACCCAAATACGCTCATTATTTCTGCTCATAAAAAGTTAAACTCTCCAACTTAGTTACAGAGTGTTCTTAGTTCCGAAGATCTCGTAGAAGTCTGGTAGAATCGTCAGAGAAGCAGAAAGCCAGAAATTCATATTTTCGTAGTAATATATAAGTATAAGTATATGTTCATAATGGCTTTAAAGTGGTTTGAGTTCCAAAACCTTGCGTACTTTAGACATGTTTTCTCGTTAAACATATGTGTACCGCTTGTGAATACCCTTAGTCCCCCTTCTTTTTTTCTCCAACGAATATACACAACAAAAACAATAAAAAAAATTTTCATCAAATTTTTTTTGTTTGAAAATTTGATTATCAAGAAATAATGTAAACTTCAAAAACGCACTGCGAATACACAGGCGATGGAACCAAGTCGCACGAGAGTTTGCATTTGTTATTTAATATCGACATTTCTAATTGGTTTCTTCATCTACATACTGGTCTCGAGCAATTTGGAGAATAGTCGCAAACTCGGCCGACTGCGTGAGGAGGTCGACGAGATAGCGGTGAGTCGAAATTGGTTTTGAAAAATTAAACGAAGTTAAAAATTTATATTTTCTACAAACCAACCGACGCACTGACACATCTATAGCACGTTGTGCTGCATACGGCGCCGGGGCAAGGTGACACAAAGCACTTAAATGAGATCGTTGACGGCATACTGAAGAAGCGGCTCGCCGGCATCTGGGATGACTTGTACACGATGAAAAAGCAGTTGCGACTCACAGAATGTGCCGGCCGCACGACAACGACCGCACACACCACGACGGCGGAGGGTGAAGGTGGCGCCCTAATGGAGCGCACTGTGCCGGCGCGTATCAACTATGCGGCGGAGGAGTTAGGCGCTAAGGTGCAGGATGTGAACGCTGAGCCGCTGGATGGCGGCAATCTGGTGCGATCAGTGCTCGGCCTGCAGTACAGCGCAAATCCGCCTATAAATATGCTGAAACCCGGCATGGAACCGGGCAATTGTTTTGCTTTCAAGCGCGCCAAGGCGGTGGTGACCATCAAGCTGGCGCAGGCGGTAAGTAATAAGGGCGGTTGACTGGTTTTAATGTGTGCTTTGTGACATTTATAACTGTTTTACAAGCAGATATTTGTGGAGAGCTTCGAGTTGGCGCATCTGTGCAAGGACAATGCGCCCAATAATGATACAACGAGTGCGCCGAAGGAATTCGAAGTTTATGTAAGTATTCGGGTGACTTTACTGGTAGTTATGAGGTAGTGGAGTTTTGATTTGAGGTTTTGAGAAAAAGAGAGAGAGCTGCAATGAGCTTTCGCGCATGTCGCCTTAATGTAGGCAACGCAATGTGAAGACTGCAAGAAAACTGAAAAGCTGYTTAAGTTTTATTTTCTTCCATTGAAATATATTTAAATATTCAACTTCTACAGGGCATCACCGCTACTTCATCGAAAGAAGCGAAGTTTGGTGACTTTACCTACACAAATCAGCATCCGCCTGTGCAGAATTACGAGGTGAAGAGTGAATGTAAATACCTTTATATGCGCTTCAAGTTTAAGTCCAATCATGGGCATCCGGARTACACCTGCATCTATCGGTAGGTTTTTGAAAAGTGAAAATTTTTCGAAAAATAGAGACAAATATTATTTTGAAAGGAAGGTTTTGGAAATAGAAAAATATTTAATATTTTTTAATTTTTAATA